AATAAAAAAATACAAACACAACGAAATGAAAGGAAGTTGAGAGAAGAACAAAAATCTTATAATATCTGCCCCTTTTTTCCTCAGTTCAAACAACAGTAATCTTTAATTAACAAAACAAAACAAGAACATCAAATCTTTCTAGAACAACAAATTATATGGTTACACATTATACTGTTTCATATTTTTTCAACAATCCAACCTTTATCATTCTCTTGAACACGTACTTTGATTTGGCACTTTTCACATCATTTTCCAGAATATTCCACAATCTCACTCCTTGGACTGAGGTGCACCGTTCTTTCAAACATGTTCCAAATTTAGGTTTCATGAACATCTCTGTCCCCATAAGATTATAATAGCTCTCTCTCTTTGCAAAATTTTTCTGGATGTTTATGGGTAATGTGTTTTGGTGTGCTTTATACATAACTAACAAAATATTAGAATCAACCAAATCATAAAATTTCAATAATTTCAGTTTATAGAATAATCCATTAGATGGATAATAGTAATGTTTTCGAGTGATAACTCTTATAGCCCATTTTTGCAAAACAAAAACAGGATGTGTAATAGTCTTCCAAGCTTTACTCCATACTTCAACACAACAGACCAAGTATGGAACAATTAATACATTATATAACATATACAGAGCTTCATCATTAAACAAGACCCCTATTTTTGTAAAGCAATGCAATAGATTTAGCTAGTTTTAACACACAAAAACTTTACCTCACTGACTCTACTAATCTCCACACCATCAACTCTAAATGGACTATTTATATTTTTATTTATATTTATATTTATACGGCTGCAACCTTTGTTTAGAAAAATGACAAAATCCAATCTTTTCATTTTTTATTTCTGTAATGAGGAAAACTTCAACTCATTGCTGTATCTGAACTGTGGTGTTGCACCACTGACCTGAAGAAATCCCTCCAGTGCGTCCTGAGCTCCTTCTGCTCCTGCAGCTCCTTCTCCATGGCTTCCTGCAGAGCCTCCCTGGTGGAGCTGAGGGTGTGTAAGGCTGCCTTGCCTTCCTGGTGAAGCCTTTCCTGTCCCTGTAGGAGAGCACTCTGCCCTACTCCTGTGGTCTTTCCGGGGCCTGCCTCTGATTCCACCTGCAGCATTGAGTGTTTTTCCCCTGGAGGCGAGAGCGCCAGAACAGCCTGAGCAGCAGATAGTTGGATGGCTTTCACGTCAGCTATGGCACCCTGGATCACTCGCATCGTCACCTAAAAWAAAACAACACAACCCAGAGAAACAATTTAAGAATAAAAAATTCAGGTTTTATACATGGACTCCAGTTTCTATCTGATTACATTGTGATGAAAGCAGCACCTTGCGGATGTCTGCAGCAGCCTCCTCGTCCAGGTTGTTAATCAGCTCTGCAAGCTCCAAACTGTGAGTCGTCAATAAGTTCTGCCAACAGCGCAYATGCTGAGATATCTCAACTTTTTCCTCCAAGCTCTTGGCCATGCTTGACAAATCCCTCTGCCTTTGTTTGTGGACCTTCACCTGCAGGAGTGACACAGGGGTGACTTACAAAGGCTGTTTAAATCTAAACTACACAATGAATCAGACTCTTTCAGTCCGAATAGATGCACCATGTCAGAGATGAGCTCCATCCTCTTCTTAATCAGTCCGCAGCGCATCGCTCTTTTCTCCTGGTTCAGCGTCTCGTCCAGTCTTTGTCTCACCACCACAAGCTCTTTCTGGGCCTTTTCTTGCAGCTGATCAAGCTGCTCTGCAGGTACGAGGCTCCCTCTGGTGGAGAGAGCAACAAACTCATAACCCATTTCCAACCCAGCGTGCCTATTTTTAACAGATAATATGTTTCATTTTAACTCAACAAGTGACATACAAAATATGCATAGATTTTTTCCCTTTGCCTCTAAGGAATGTTGTATTGTTATACAAGAGTAGACATTGCTGTAAGCTGCTTAGCATGACATAAAGTGATTAAACAGATCACCATTTTTAAGTCTTTAAGATTTCGAAGTGATATTTTGTCTGCTTGAGAAACATGTAAGCACAATAAAAATGCTTTAAACTAAATTTAAATTATGTTAAGTTATTATATATGGATGAGAGTGTAAACCTTCAGTACATAAAACAAACTAAAGAATTTTCCATTAAGTATGTCCATTAATATTTTCCTGAATCCTGTTAGCTAAAAAAATAAGAATAGGATTATACCACACCATATAATCAATCCATTTCTTAAAAGAAGAACTTAAAACAAAATATATGTTTTTTTAATAATAATAAACGCAGGCTCATTTTTGACTGAACYTGAACTCCAAGCTGCAGTGCAGACAGGTAAGACTGATTTATAGTTTTTTATTTAGTTTTGCACGTTGACGCTTTGAGTTTTAAAGACCCACAAATGAGACAACTCAGTTGTAAAATGTAAAATGGACCAACCTCCTTATATGGTCGAACCAGCTGTCCAAGCTGCTGGACGTGTTGGAGAAGGTGTCAGACATCAGGCCGTTGAGGCTGTGGAGGCTGTGAACCAGGAACTTCCTCTGAGCGCTGTGTTCAGCTAACACGTAGCGCTGATTTGCAACGACGACATCCAGCACCTCCTCTAGCTGATCCTGACGGATGGTTAGACAAAATCTTGTGAATTTGTAATTTATTAAATAATTTTATTGTGACTAAAACTGACAGATATTCTGTCTTCAATGATGATAGCATTGAGAAAACATTACCGAGACTGAATTCTCTATTTCTACTTTTTATTTGTTTGGACAGGAACAGTACAAATGGTTGCAGCTTTGCAATCTTAGTTTCGTCTTGCTGAAAATAASATTTCAGCTGCTCAACAGTGTGTCGTCATTGTTCTTTGTTTCMTCTCATCCTGATGAATCACGTTGCGTGTTGAGCTAAAATCTATGAACCATGACCCGTTCTTGCTTAGAAAGAGAGAACCTTTGATGGATGCAGCTTTCATACTCAATCCTGCCCCCATCATTTGTCAATAATTACCAGTAATCATCTGATTGCAGAAGCTTGAAAAACGATGTTACTTGTAAATTTTGTAAACCGTTACATCTTTCTTTGCCTTTCTTCCTTTTAAGGTGAGATCATGGTGTCAAATTTAAGATTTAATTCCAAAAATACACAAAAATTCTAAGCTTGTTTTTAGGTTTCTTAAGATTATAATTTGACTAATTTGTTAAATATGGTTGATATTGGCAAAAAAAATTATCACGATTAATTGTGGTAATTGATAATGATTTAATGATATGATGATTAATCCCCTGGATGCCCTCATATTCTAGTCACATGACCAATTTAAATCACTCTAGTGGGAAAGATTTGCTCTCCGTAAAAAATCTGTTCTAAATTGTGTCAAAAGCACAGACTTCAAGCTATACATCAATTTTTAAATTGTGTTGATACACCAAGTAAAACAGGAGTTATGATAAATAAATTATAAAACAATTTTTTAAAGTTCATCATATTTGAAGCGGAGAGAAGCATCGAGCGAACTGACCGGGAAAACCTTCATTCAATCTGCTTGGTGGCGTTAATCATAATTGTCAAATGCCAAAAACTTTGTCTGACGATTAATTACCATTAATTTCACACGATTTTGCCCAACCCTATTGTTAAATAAAGGAGTTTTTGTTTAGTTTTTTAAACTTATCTAGAAGTTGTTTATAAGTTTAAGTTTGAATGCTGTTTTAACATAAATGCACATTTCCACAAATGCCAAAGACAAATATGGAAAGTTTTAAAGTTGATGACTGTGTAACACCTTTAACCACAAACTGAAAAAAATCTAAAAATCTTCACCTGAAAAGAAAAGTACTCYTGTTGAAGACTGCTTGCCGTGTCTGCCTCTAACTCGCCCATTTTTGTGGCCTCCTCCAGCTCTTCAGTGAAGATCTTGTGCAGCTCCACCCGCCTCCACTCGATGATTTGCCTCTGGACGTTCGCTGAAGCTTCTTCGTGTCGAACCAAYAGGAGGCGCTGGAGCTGACCCTGACTCAGCTTGTGCAGCTTCTCCAGGAGGACGGCACATTGAAGGAGCTCCTGGTCGTGTTACAAATTTACAGTTTGGTATTTTCACCATGTCATAATAAAATAAAATAAAAAACAAAACAAAACTGCATCTCTTCTCCTTACCTGCTGGTCTGCATGTTGACAGAGCAGATCGGCCTGAGCCTTTTCAGCAGCTTCTCGACAATGCTCCGCCTCCATTTCTTCCCGAGTCTCCAGGTTACACTGACCTGCCAGGGCTCCCATCCATGCCCCTCGTTCCTCCTTTAGACGCCCCTCCATGCCCAGCAGCTGTCCGTGGAGGACCCTGAGCAGCCTCTGCTGGGCCTGAGAACTGGCTTGTCCACGTGATCGCAGGCCCCCAAGCAAGCAGGACATCATGTCTTTGTAAATCTGAATCCGGGTGGCCTCTAGGCTACTGGTGGCATTCAGCAGTGAAGACATTTCAAGGCTTAAGGGAGAAAAACAGAAGAAAGTGTACATCCATTTCTGACAGAATCTTTTCAATCAAACCTTATTTTGTGATTTTACTCACTTTTCCAAAGCCTGATACATGTTCTGAGGATCCTCCAGCAACATGACGTCCACTATCTTGTCTTCAAACGCAGCTTTATCTTTGACAGTCTCATTCATGTTGCACTCTGCATCCTCAGGGTCRGACTCACATCTGTTTCTCTGAGGCAAAATACAATAACAAAAACGAAAATATTTCAGATCAGTCTTTAAAACTGACAAAGTTATAATGTCAACTAAAAAAAAGTGTTTATATTGTATGTATCTCTGATTTAAAAAAACTTTAAGTGGAAAATAGCAATTTTTTTGTGATACCCTCTGCTGAAAAAGGCGGAGTCTTGCTCTGGGATTTGTGAAGTTCATGGCCAGAAATCCCAGCAACAGCAGCACCAATGTGGTGAAGAAACCAGCAACAAATCCAGCAAAATGGATTCTGTGGTTCAGCTCAATCTAGGATGCCAGACAAATTTTTAAATAAAAATCACACACACAAAAAAGATGCATTTCCAGCTGAAGGGATGTTTCTAACTTACTCGATCAGTAGAATTCACCCTCAGCCTTAGATTTGCTGTTAAAGGTCCAAACATACTAACATCATTCTGTGGGAGGAATACAAGCAAAAAGTAAAAATTAAATAAATAAATACTTTAAGTAAGAAGACAAGAATTACTCTTATATTTTACAAATATTAGCATAATAATGTTTATACATTAATTGACTTAAAACACATACGTGTGAGGCATTGGAGAAGGTCAGAAAAGCAGGAAGATCCAGGACTTCATTCCTGAGGCTCTTTAATTGAGCAGTATAATTAACAACAACTTGGAATCCAGCTAAAAAAGAAAAAGGAAAAAACTGTATCACTTTAGATCACAGCAAGCAGAAATTACAAATCACCTGTGGGCTAACTATATTTTGAAACGGTCCTACCCGAAAGTGAATCAACTGCAAATGTTTGGTAGCCTCGTTCCACGACTCTGCCTTCAGTTTTTAAAGGCCGTATCCCAGAAATGGAGTCTCGGATCGCCACCTGAGATAGGTTGGTGCCCCCCAAGGGCCCCATATTGTGGATCAGCAGGAAGAATGTCAACTGAGGGGGATCAGTGTCGAGCTGCACCTGAAGCAGACATGATAACAACAAAAGCTGTTAATTTCAACATCTTAAGTAATCAGCAAAACAATATTTTTTTTTTACATTTTATGATGAATCAAAATTAGTGACTGATGTACCTGGGCACACTTATGAAATTTTACCCCAAAGGAAATTGGAGGAGCCACATTCTGAACCTGCAGAAACATTGGTAAAACATGTAATACCTACAAGTAAATAAGTCAAAATGTTACATTTCTTTAATTAACTAAATAAAAAATTCAGTTAAACAACATGAAGCAAACCTGAGGGGGAGGGTGCGGGGGGCTTTGTCTGATGAGCGTGCTCCTGCTCTTCCTGGGGCGCAGCATGTTTGACAGGTAGCTGAATGAAGAATAAAACGAGTGGCTCCACGGACCTGCAGGAGCTGAAGAGGAGGCTGGGCTCCATCCAAAACACAACATGGGCTCACTGGGTTCCATTGTACCTGTCAGGGCAATAAAAAATATTAAAAAAAAACTAAACAAAAAAGTGTTTACAAAACTATAAGTAACAATAATATTATATCTAAATTTCATTACCATTATTAATACTCATTTGTATTCATACTTAGGTTTTGTTAGTGTTCAAAAAGCTCTTAGTTCAACACTTAGAATTTTTTAAGTACAGCCACTGTATAACTTTAAATTGACAAAATATGTATAAGGCAGCATTTGCAATGCCATTAAGCTGTATATGGATAGTTGTTGCTGATGTAAGCATGAMCTGTTTAGATTCTGTATGTTAAAGTAAGAGGACTGCAGTACAAACCCTCTATCTGGAGTAACATCAGGCCTGCTGACTTTTCTCCTTGGTCAGTGCAAAGACTCTATCAGTGAAGAGAAAACAAACAAACAGTATTTTTATTTATATTGCTGTGTTAATTTACATCTAAAAGATTAACAAGTGTATGATCATTGACATTCCACAACTGTATTTGAGTTCATTTATTGTCAATATGTCACCTGGTGGATAAGTGACACACATACTGTATGAACAAAATGTTTTCACCGTCAGTTGTTAACATTAACATTGATCAATAACATTTATAGACCTCAGTTGGTGCTTCTAAATTCATCCTATAAATTTAGCAAGTGCTAATTCACTAATAATTTTTTWAATTGGCAAAAGCCCTAAAGCACTTATCAGAAAATTGGTTCCCTGTTAGTGCTTTAGGGGAACTGTGCCCACCACAGGAGCTATGTTTGACACTATCATTGCAAATACACTGCAAAGCAGCAAAAACATCAACACTGCATACTTAAGTATTTGTTCATTTTTCACTCAAATTTTGTAGGAAACATTAATAGGTGATGTTGAGTTGTAATACACGTGTATTAAACATATCTTCACTAAAATAGAAATGGAAAAAAAGTGTTTAAATAAAATACTTACCCCATTTTGTCTAGTTCTGGGTGGGCACGATGAGGTACTGTTAAACTGAGGATGTCCAGCCCTGTCCTGAACTGTCACATCAGGACAGCAACACATGCAGAAGAAGGATGAAAACAAACACGAAACTGTGATATTTAAGATAAATAACCATACCGTTTGCCTCTCCACGGTTAGGTGTACCCGAAACATTAGAGCATTAGTAAGTATTACTAGCACGGAGCAAAGCCGCTAGCTAACTGGCTGCTTTGTCTCCACATTGTGCCTGTGAAAAAGGTGAAAATATTTGCTGTTCCTCACGTAAAAAAGAATGTGGCGAGCAAGAACGTTTCCCTTTACTGTCTAAATTTAACGATTAAACATTTTTGCCATAATGCATCTTTTTACGAGTTTGCAAAAGTACTAATTACACTCCGAAACTAAGAAAAAGTTTCCAAGAGTTAAGGAAAAATCGGGATGTGTTGAAAACAAAATACATTGTGTYGTTTCCGGTTTAGCCTTTCAAAATAAAAATACATGACTGGATTAGTTGAATGAAAAGCATCATAAAAATTTTAAATAATTTTGATTAACTAAAAGTTTTAGTGCTATTTTGATTATTTTTTTATTTGTATGAAAATTGCCATTACGTTCTGATTGTAAACAAGAATATTTTGTTGTACTTTTAAGTTGAAAATTTACTCATTGAGTTTCCGCCTTAGTTGGCTCGTTTTGTTTAGCTTGCAATCGCTCAAATCACAGTTCACCCATTGGCAAGAGGTTAAACATCTGGGGAGGAGATCAAAGTTTCTGCATCGATAACTTGACATTGTCGGAATAGTTTATTCTTTTATAGAAGATGACAAAAACACCTATAGAACTAAATGCGGAACAAAAGCACACGAGCTTCAGCGAACGCAGGGATGTTGTTTAGCCTTGGTGCTAATCAAACTGCTAACCACTGTTTTTCTACGGCTTGACCGCAGAAATGACAACAGCGGAGGTGGCGGCGGACTGCGGCACGGATGTTTTGGTCAGTTTTGCCGAATCCCTCCGCGTRTCCACCGGTCTGCTGACTGTGGCTGCGGTGTGTGGAGGACTGACGGGGATGTTAGCTGCTTCTCTCCTCTACCTGTTCTGCTTGAAGCCATTGTTGTTGACGAGACAAGTAAGCACATCATTAAATACAAGTTTTTCCAACTTATATTCATCATTTCTTAATCAACAAGCTCATTTTTTTTCTTTTTAGTGTTACAACGCAAGAAGACTACTTGAATCTGATGTGGGGAATTTGGACGACAACCAAAGTGATGGTGTCAACAGCAGCAGAAAAGATGCTTCAAGTGGCACCACTGATGGCAAAGTATTAGTCTTCATCACAGTCAGCGTGGAAGCTACTGCTTTTAACACTTGAATAAGGTTACACTATGGGATGCCAGTCAAATGGTGGAGATAGAGATTGAGAGGATGCTAAATGTGAAATGTACTGGTAAGATTCTMAAAAKCAAGGAGGATGGGCAGAGATGTAACACCTACACAAGTGAAGACGTTGAAAAGGTTGCTGAACCCTGGTGTAGAAGTGAGATGAAGCAAACGTATGGTTTCATGCAGAGAATAAGCTCTGTAGATATATCTGCTTAGAGAYTGTTAATAGAGATGGTCTGGAGGAGGGCCTGTGGTGTGATGAGGAAACAGAATATGAGGGTGGTCCAAGGACAACAAGACTGGTGAGATGTGCAGTAGGAGAGACAAACGGGTCCCCACAGACTGATGCTTGCAGATGACATTGTGGCCTATAAGTCTAAGGAGCAGGTGGATGAGAGCCTGGAGAGGTGGAGGGATGCTTCAGAGAGAGGAGGACGGACAGTCAATAGCTAGAATACAACTGTGTAAATGAGTGGCAGACGGGAGCTGCAAGGAGAAAAGTATTGAAGGGGGATGAGTGTAATTTAGGGCTGCCACGATTAGTCGATTAAAACAATCGACTAATTTAATAATCGATTAATCTTTTTTTTTGTTCTTTACTTTGTTTTTTTTTCTCCAAACTGCTTTGACACCTTCCACTGCCACATCTGCCTTTCTGTCCTTGACACACATGCATAGTAGTGGTAAGTGGGGTAGGCCGTGGACGTCACAAGACATTATACAGACATGCTCTGGTATCATGGCTACCTGGCAACAGAGCTCAAAAGTGTGGGAACTTTTTAAGAAAATGAAAGAGAAACCTGTGTAATATCTGCAGAGCAGAACTTGCCTTCCACAGCAATTATTTTTAGTTAGCAGATAGTTAAAATCCAACCATCCAATAGCAGCTGCATTCTGGCGCGATAAGCTGTATGTTTTATATTCAATTAACGTATGATCTGATTAGTCGACTAATTTAAAAAATAATCGGTGATTAATCGATTATATAAATAATCGTTTGTGGCAGCCCTAGTGTAATTACTTGGGGTCAACCAGCACACACGTGAGGTGAGGAATAGGCAGGGTTGAGTGGATGGAGACGAGTGATTAGGGTGATTTGTAGCAGACGGAAAGGTACAGCAGTGAGATGGAGAACTGAAGATATTTTCATTGAGAGTGACCAAAATGGACAAGATTAGAAACAAGTGCATCAGAAGGACAGCTCAGGTTGAGCAGTTTTGAACAAAATGAAAGAGGTAAGACTGAGATGGTTTGATCATCTGCAGGCTGTCCACTGTTGTGAACCATAAAGCAAGCAGCTGAAAAACGTTGGGAAGCTCCATGTTCAAAAAAGTTTGTAGTAATCTATTCACTTTTTAAATTCTAAATAAAAGCATACTTGCCCTTTTTTCTGATTTACCAGCTGAAGAAGGAGACCCCCATAAACAGTGATGTGGCTGCATTTGCCTCCCGAGCCAAGGTGGTTTACCCCATCAACCAGAAATACAGAGTAGGTCCACCACATTTGACTTCTTCCTAKACTGTTGAACAGATTTTTATTCTGAGGCTGAGGAAATTTTATTTCATGTTTCAATGTCACAATTCCTTTCAGGGTGTTTTATTTTCTGTTTTGCACAAACAGTATGAGGTGCAATTTTTAGACACTATGAGTAAACAAAATGTAAGATGCTGTTTACTGGAAGCTACAGAAATGAGGAAACTGTGAACTGATGCACATTATTCTATGAATGTAATAAAATGTATTCGAGGCAAACACCAAATAAGAATTAAATGTTGATAAATACATTTAATTTACACAAAAATAGAGAAATGTAAAAAAGCATGTTTTCATTCTATACTGCATGTTTTATTTTTAGATTTTCATGGTAAGACTAACATTTTTTGTTTAATTTAGCCTTTAGCAGATGGTGCATCCAACCCATCACTCCTTGAGCACACAAAGTTGACAGCAATGCCCGATGAGGAGTCATCCTCCTCTGCTGATGAAGAGGCTCTGAGTCAAAAGCAGGACAACATTGACAGCAGCCAGTTTATCTCCTCGGTGATGGTCCCCAAGAGCCTGCAGAACCAGAGTTTCACCCGAGTCTCCCACTACCCCCACACACTGACACAAAGGGGGTAAAAACGTGGATTCTGAGGATTACCCAGACTTCATATTCRGACAGTTGCAGATCTAATTATTTTGTTTCCACAGCTCTGAAGGAAGGATGAGCCTTTATTGTTTGGCCCTGCAGGATCTACAACATCACAGCTCCCAGCTTGAGGAAGAAAAATATCTGGTGAGTGTTTACTGTTTGTACTAGGACTGTACGTAACCCAAAACGTCTTATTGTCTTCTGTCTGACGGCTCCCTTTAGATCTTTCTACAAATGGTGAAAATGATATTCGGCTGTCGGTTTCCAAAAGATAAACGTGATGCAGATTTCACCAAGAACATTGTTCTGAAGCAAGAACAGGTAAAAAAAAAACAGCTGGTATTTATCCTGTAAAGTGTACAAGTCTACAAATATAGATGTATCTAGTATTTGTTTCAACGCTTTTACTATTTCTTACACAGAAACACTGATTTCTGCATTTTCATTAATTTTTTTAAGGAGCTGACTAAATTGAGGAAAGAACTGCCAGAAAATCAAACCATGAATGAGACGAGTCCRGATACTTCCTGCTCACTGGAAGACATCGAGAGAGCTCAGAAAGATCACTTTGAACGCAGCCTTCAAACTGTGAGAAGAAAGCAAATAATGTCTTTATTTTTTCTATTTGGACTAAAGATGGTTAATTTTCACGTGTCTTTACAGTCCAAAAGTTTCAGCAGACAAGTAGAGGATTTATGTCATCTTCTACTGAAGAGGAGCAGCGTTTTCTCTCCAGATGATTCCCAGGATGTAGTTTCTTCTCTCATTCAGACACTTCTGTTTGTAGAAAACCACTTGTTGACATTACAGGAAGCTGAGCTGCAGGTACAGACCTTCTTGTAATTTTTTTAGTTTTGTAGATCAGATTGACTGATTACTGAACAGGTAAGTAAATATTTATGCTTTTATGCTGTTTCTTAGAGGACGCTGGAGAAGCTGCTGTGGTGGGAGGACTTGTCGGGGTTGGTTCAGTCCCAGCCTGCCTTGCTGAGGTGGGAGGTGAATCTGAGGCAGAGTTTGATCGCCGCCACGCTGGAACAGCTGACAAGTGACAATGTCTTGAAATTCAGCCACATGGAAAAGATAATTTCAGAGATCCAGGTCGGTCTGAGTGAAGGCCTTCATCAGAGCACTGAGGGTAAGATGCATAAGCTAAAAATAGTTTAATTTGAATCTAACAAGAAAATACAACATAGTGGAGTGGCTATGTGGCTTACAGAAAACAGTCATTGTGAACAGGATCATTAGATTTAGATTTTTAATTTTTCTTTTAGCTAAATAAGATGTGTCTGACTATATTTAATTGAATGCAGCTGCTTTTTAATGAAAAATTGCAATTGTTTACATTCAGTCTATATTTAGAGCTTCTTAATTAAGATAAGGTTTTTTCTAGAAAAAAATAATATAATATGGTCTAATAACACTCTTAACACCTTTTGCACAAACACTGCCTTACTGTCCTAATGTGCTATCAAAGAAATATATTAAATATAAGCTCCATATACAGTATTCAGTGGTGGGCAGCACTAATTTAAAAACTAGTTCCACTAGCCCTAAAACACTAACTCAAATATTTAGGTCCCCTAATTCTAAAGCACTAATGCGCTGAAAATTTTAGCAAAAGCTAATTGTAAAGCACTAAAATAACCCAGTCAACCCATGAACATTCTTCAACAGACAACATGAGTCATATATTGTCATTTTGCTCTCTTAATACTGACATGCCATAGCTGTGTTTGAGTTCATTTATTGTCATTATGTCACCTGGTGGATAAGTGACACACATATGAACAAAATGTTTTCACCGTCATTTGTTAACATTAACGTTGATCAATAACATTTATAGACATCAGTTAGTGCTAATAAAATTTAGCCTATAAATTTAGCAAGTGCTAATCCACTAATAAATTTTAAAATTAGCAAAAGCCCTAAAGCACTAATCAG